CTAGACCTCACAAAATGAGTGTAGCTCACTCTTGAGTGTATGTAAATGCTAATGGGCTATTAAGGAAATATTCCGGCTGAACTTTTGGCAGATTCTTTTGGACTTGATAGACTTTTGATGTCTGTGTTGTTTAAAATCAGCATCAAAAATAAGATCCGGATCTTCAACTGCAATGTGAAGTCAGTCAGTGCTACTCACTATACGGATCAGAGACTTGCACTGCGCGTCATAAAGAGCATCTCAAACAAACTACCGACCTTCATTAACAGCTAGTTGTCTTCGCTCAATACTAAAGATCAGATGACCGGCCAGAAAAGATTGGCAACAGGGATGGATCTCCGGCAATCAGCTAACCAACCTGGAGTCGATTGTGCAACAAATAAGCAGGAAGAAATGGAGATGGATTGGCCTTACTCTGAGAAAACAAACCATCAAGTGACATCACTTGACAAGCCATTGCTCGAATGGAACCCGAAAGGGAAGCGGCGAGTTGGTCGTCAGTGCAAGGGTGACTTTTGAGGAGGCCATGTGAAGAGGAGATGAAAGCAAGTGGACAGAATTGAAGCCATGTGAAAACTCTAGCAGAGAACCGAAGGCAATGGAGACGTGTGGCTGAAACCCTATGTTCCTCTTGGGAATTAAAAGAAATAATAATAATTGTTTAACACTATTCATCAACGTGGAGCCTCACACGGAACTTCAACTCAACTTGTCACACTTTGACAAAGCACACATATAAATACTACAAGTGGAAATTACTGAAGCTAAAATGAATGAAAGTCCACGGCTCTAAGTGTTGGGCGTGATTCTTTTAGGTAAAGGAAGAATAGTGAAACAATTGAGAAATCAACCAGTCTTATTAGGCTTTGACATTGAGTACCAGAACTGCATAACAAAAAACTAGGCGCTGACATGACAGATTTGCATCCTACTGAGCCAGTTTAATTGGACCGTTAGAGACGTGTCGTGATTAAGAAAATCCCATTTCTCTTTGAATCAGTTAAAGAAAGGCTGTAAGTCAAATTCCTTTTGACTGAATTTTTGGTTGTTTATAACGCTTGATCCATCTGTCTGTCATATCGAATAGAATAAAGTTGTATGGTAGTGTAGTGTTATTAACATCATACTCGATGCATTTACTCTTTTAGCATTTTTGTACGCGGAACTGACAGAGTAATATTTTGTGGAATGGTGATCACACAGAGATAGCTTTTATCATGATTATATGATTCAGAATGAGACGTCAATTTTGTAAACTTTGGAAGCGCCTTCGACATTATTGGCAATGAAGTAGTCTAACAGCTGCTTCAGGGCTTTGGTGTGCTTTAGAGCTTAATTCAACAGCTACACGACGACACAGTTATATACCATGTGAAGCGTTTGAAGCTGTCACAGATGACGTTATTGATTCCAGTGATCTGGATGATGTAACAGACTCTGAGGAATGAGAAGATTAACTTAAATCGGATCAAGAGAATGACCATACAAAGTCAGGAATTCTCAAATGATTTACAACCACTTAAATGTAATGCACTTCACACAAAAAGAATGTGATTAGGATTCTCAGTGCCAACATCAAGTCAGTCGCTGATTCTATATTTTGCAGATGCTTGGCGCATGTGTCATCAGACGAATTTCGAAACAACATGCAAACTTTCATCAAGAATTGCACTCTGTTGATATATTGGACATCAAATGCTGGTTAATACTCAGATAACCAGCAGAAAAGCGGCTATAAGCAAATGGCCTGATAAAAATGTAGAGGGAGTTAGAGGTGGGTTCAGTATGTTTTAGAGCAACGCTTTAATGACGACAGGCCTAAGGACGACAAGTGAAATCTGAAAGATAAACGGATTAGTATGATGATTTCAGACAGTTGGAGGCAATCGGCAGGAAGCAATGGACCTAGATTTCGTGCTAGTTGGCACTCACCAGTCAGTCAGCAAGGCGTATCTGCACACTTGAAGCAATTCATTTCCCCTTCTGAGATTTGAATTCACGTCACCCAGTGCTACCAGTCAAAGAGGTTACCATTGAGGCATCTAATAACATCAAATCAGTGTGCCCCGTGATGGCAAGCTACCTGGATTGGTGGCCACATTACAAACCTGACTTATAGAATTCTGCAGCGAAGAAAGAGCTAGTCACATCACACTAGTTAATAGTGTCCAATCAAAACGAATTGGTCGTCTATAAGTGACTTGGAGGAGACAATGTCAGAGGAAAATGAGATCTTATGAGCAATAACGTGGAGAGCTAAAAAATTTAGTCGAGAACCCGGTGAAAGCCTGATGTTAAAATCTGAACTCAAAGGCATAAGTAGTAATAAATAATAATCAAAGGTCACCAGAAAACTGTTGTGTCCAGGATCAAAACGAGAACAGCAAAATTTAGAGAAATATCTGCCTCGGAATAAAAATATAGGGAGACTTTGTCGCAGTCTTCACACTCAAAGAACAGCTTAAGTGTCTTTTACACAAGTACACACAGAGTGAACAATCCATGTTCAGCAAACGTTGTAGTACAATAGACAGTCAGCCAATGTGTAACCGCAGCTCACACTTCTTCGGGGATTCATGAATAGGTGAGCTTTTAGACATACATTAGATGAGATGGCCCTTTACAGTCGGGATATTGACGCTACACAGATTGCATGTAATGACAAGGAACCATATCTTCCACCTTATTGATCTACTCAACAAGGCATGTAGAATAACATCCAAGTCAACTTTGAATTCAACAAGGATGTTGAACATCTACAAGTGACAGATAAAAAAATTCACAAAAATTTATCCGCGGTGAGAAAACTTGAAATAGATAGTATCCTAATATCATTAGCATATATATTCAGTAATCTACAGGAAAGGTCTAATGACAACCTTCCCCAACCGTATTTTAAAGTGACGTTCTAAAGAATGACTTGAAATCATCAATGGTTTCAAATGCCTACGAGGTAATGGGTGACGCCAAAAATTTAATGATGTGAACACAAATGAATACCATGTATAAACGACAAAGTCAATTACAGCAGAGAATAAGCCAGTCTTCTTCCTTAAATATGGATTGAAATGTGATCAAAAATCTAGAAATTAGTCCTTGAGAAACTTAATTACCTAGTTGCTTTCAAGCTCTATCATGAATTGATATCAGTGATATAACCATTAAAAAGCCGGAAGGATGCAACAGGGCACGCGTTTTGTTCTGGTTTATGAGAATATTCAGTGGTACAAGGTGGAATGATCCCCACAAGTGACTGACTACAGTATGACGTTTAGTGAAAGAAACAACGAACATATTGTATGCAGGACAAGGCCAACTGGATGTATATCGTGGGTTCTCTCCAACTGTCTACACTCTAAACACTATCAAATTATAAGATAGAAAATTTCCGAACTTCCTTTGTTCACAGTGACTTCGAGTTATAGATAGACAGTTTAAGGCAACACAATGCCAGCAATGATGTAAGTAGACGAATTATTCAATATTAAACGAGTAATTATTTGTAGAATTAGTTAGACGAGAGCTGGGTAGAGTTCAGATTTCGCTTGGAAACAAGGATGGGCTAGAGATAGAATCAATTTATGCATATAACGATGACGAGGTGAAATGTGAAGTAATATTTCTAAAATATATACAATAATTTAACTTAGTAGATTTGTAGACTTAATAGTGAGTTCAACTCAGGAAGTACAGTTCGAAATCAAAATTAGGTAGAATGTTACACAGACGAACAATAACACTTACAGTTACCAAGTTAGTGAGAGATTAATGACACTTTTTCTTTCTGTATATATGTATGTGTTGACTTGATGTCTTTTAATAGCAATAAGGTTCTAAGAACCAGAGTTACAAAGATTCTGTTTGTTTATTGATTATTTTGAACTCGTGACTAATTACCAGCAATTACACTACAAAAAATTTTGCAGCTTTTCATGCTGGGACTTTTAGGGATATATGCCTAGAAAATCTAGTAGACACCCTCCTCTCAGTTCTTCCTATCTACTTACTACCTCAAGTGCAGGTGAACTGATAAATGCAGTCGCAGCTTAGTAGCTTTAAAAAGTATGTTCAGAAATTGTGTTTAGGTTGAACGCAGTTGAAGAGAATCCCTGAAGCAAGTGCAGCTTGTAGCATCCTGCAGGCAATATTTTCGTTCATGATTAAATCCTTAATGCTTCTCTATCTAATTGTGTCTATAAAATAAAATACTTGGAATGTGTGATGCGATATACATCGGACAAACCTCGCCAGAGAGAAATCATAATCAGCATGAACACTGTATAGTTGCCTTTGTTCAACTACCGAGAAATCCGGTTAGTGAACTAGAAAAGCTTGAGAAATCATCAGTCATAGCTCGTCTACATGGTATAGAATCAAGCTACAATATTGCTTTTGACAATATTGAAATCATCATCCCACAAAATGTCAGAATTCCTTGAGATGGAATTCAAATGTACTGAAGAGGAATGATGGACTAAAAATAGAATTTGACCTGTTGACAACACTCACACCAGCCCTCAATGAAATGGAAAAGTCAACACGAATGTAATAAGGTATTTCACTATGGAAGTACACGCTGCTTTTATAATTTTACACACTTATCAAATCCAACAATCTACACATCGAGTTTTGTTATCTTTCCTAACTGGTCAATTTGACATCACAAAAGTGAGCCCATGCTGATGAACGATGATTAAGTTGTAATATATATATATATATATATAAAATTCCAGTGAGAAGTCGAAACCAGCCAGGGTATATCATGCTAAGGGGCTGGGGATATTCATCGATGTCACTGACATTGATTCGATCCTTAATGAGTAGGGTTGTGGGCGTGTAATGCTCAAAAGTCCCCAAAAAGGACGAAATAGCTATTGAAATTCGCATAGTTGCCGACAATTTCTAATACATTTAAACTTATCAAAGCTACGTGGAAATGAATTAAAAAGTAATTAGAATAAAATTTGTCAAAAGAAATCAGAAAAGTCAAATTGACTTACTTTTGACATAACTGTCTGTTTAGATAAATCACCTTTATGATGTAATTTTCTCAATATACCCGATTCATCATTGATTAATCGTCTTTCCGGTGAAGCTATTTTCTCCATTGGTGTTGGATATAAATCCATTCCCGTGGGGATAGCATTTTGATGATATGATATCAATGGAATCGGTGAAATAGTTGATGAATAAGATTTTGATTCCCGGCGAATATTTCGCGTTCCCTCTAAATATCTTGCTGTATTTGTTGTCCCACTAGTATTACTACTACGATTTGTTGTTGACTTCTTCATCATCAGATCGTCAATACGCTGTTCTCTTGGTGTGCTATTCATAATTTCAGGACTTAACGGAGAGGTCATCATTTGTGAATCCATGTTTACAGTGACTGATTTCGGTGAATTGAATCCTGACGGGGCTAGTGTTGATCGATCAGAATGAATGGGCATATAATAATCCACTTGTTGATTTTGACTATGATTACTAAGACTACTACTATTATGACTACTTATAGTAGGATTTTTATTAATATATAAATTACTTATAATCTCTTCGTCAGTTTCTTGATGATTATATGGACTCAGCCGACCTGAAGGTAATGGTGGTGTATCAATTGGTGTCACCAATTGATTCGATTGAAACAAGCGTTGATCACTGGGGTAGTAGGGTAGATTAGCACGTATATTCCCGGATAATTGATGTTTACTGTTCACAGAAGATCTAGCCACCATTCGTGGCTTAAATGATTGTGTTCGACAACGACGTGGTAAATTCCAATTGGTATTGTTAGTATTACTATTAGTATTATTATTTTGATTAGAATTAGCATAAAAATGATCGGTGCAATGATCACTTTGTACGGAATGCGAATGTCCTATGCATGATTGATGCTGTTTTCCACCTTCTGTTATACTATTCCTACTGCTATTGCCACTACTATTAATATGATAACTATTTGTTATTCTATTGGCAACACGTTCATCTGACACTAATTCATGATCACTAATAGACGAAATGATTCGTTTCTCCATTAGTACTAGTAGTTGTAGTAGTAGGAAGAGGAGGAGCGTGTGTGTAAGTATGTGTCAGTAGTGCTGTGAACAGACGTATTGATTTCTTTATGATGATTATCTTTTTTTTGTTTGATTTTTCTATGCTTCTTTTTTTATGTTCAAGGTGTAGTAGTAGTTAAGGCGTGCACAAATGATAATGTGTGTTTAGTAGTGAGTGTACATCTTTTTACCACGGGGAAGAGGAGTGTCTGTTCCTTGTTTTGTTTTTTTTCGTCTCTTTTCATTTGCGATATCTATCTATCTCCCTGTGTGTGTATGTGTGTGTGCGTGAATATGTGTTTGTGTGTCTGCGTCCACGCGTGTGTATATGCGTGTGTATCACAATGTACCGTGGAAAAGTGTGCAATGTTACCTTTCTATTTCCCCGAGGGCAGACAAGAAGATGACTGCACAATTGAAGAAAAAATAACGCAAGTCTTCACTCCGTTTTGCGTGTTTGCGTATTTCTTCGCTGGCTTGCTTTTATGATCCTGATTATGTTGTGTGAGTGTGTGTGTGATTTTACTATTTTTTTTTCCACTGGAGACAAGAGTTTCACGTTTCTTCAGTTAGTCGTTATTATGTAACAGTTGTCAAGCAGCAAACAGCAAACAGCAACAACAACTTTAGCTGTGTACACAATTTTCAACTCTCTGATTGTCATTAGACAAGCAAACAAACAAATTTATGTGAATAAAAAAAAGCTAAGCGTTATCAAACAGTTAACAAAATGCACCAATCAAAAATCACTTGGTCTAATTGGCCAATTAAAATGAAGCACTGACAAAGCCAAGAGTTAATATTTCTTACTTACTTTATTTTATAAAGTAAACATACTACTAACAACAATGATAATAGTAGTAACATAATAAGATTATGGGATTTGTAGAGAGATTTCAGTTAGTATCAGCGGTTAGACTTCCTCACTTAGATCAAGAAAGTGAGTACTGCTGATGAGTGTTAATCCATGACAAGGCAGATATCCAGTGCTCCCTCGGTTCTCTTAGTAATATCCATCCGTGGTTACACTTGAAACATATCACTCCTCTGGCGACATTTCAAAGGACGTAGTTGCTTGTAGCTCAAGGAAGAATTCGTGACCCGGGGAAGTTCATACGGTTTAAAATGAGGACAAATTCAACACGCCAGTTATGGAATAGGCCACTACCAATTGCGTTAAGAACGCGAAATGCTAGAAGGGGGAATTCATACGTTGTTGTGCTGGGTGACGGTTGTTAAAGGGTCAACCAGCTTGCCAGGTATGGAAATTTGGTGGTCACATACATCTGAAGAAACAGAGATCAGGACGAAACATGTGTCCATCTGACTTCTATCAATCCGTGTTTTATACTGAAACAAATAAGTCCCTACAAACTAACTATCGGAAATCAACAGAGATTCAGCTGGACAACTACGGGATATCCAGCCACGTGATATCATTAAGCTGAAGGTTGATATTTGAACGATGGGACTGAATGTGATTTCAGCCATTAGATTTCGTGAAAATCAAAAAGTCAGTTAGAGGGATCACTGATAACCAACAAAGGCATCTATCGTGTTCCAGTTTTGAATTTTCTCTTCAACAATGTACATTGATAAATCCAACCACCTGAAGACTGGACCTGGTAACCTCAGGTTCGGAATTTAGTGACCAATGAATCCCAGCATTCGTAATTTGTGTGACTTACCACATATTTCAGTTAATAAGCACGGGCTTCAAAGTGGTATGTTCAACGTCATGGGTCTCTACCATTCCCGACCTCTATTCAGTAGCCATGAACAAGTGGGAGATTGATAGTTAGATCTTCAATTCCTGTGGGGAATCAGGTTAACATTTGTTTGTTAAATTTCATCTTCAACCGATATCAGTTAGAGATCACTCGACGGACTTTTTGTCCTAGTTTGGGACTCTTCAAATTGCGCAGCCAGGATTCCGTTTTCGAGGTTTTAACTTATCATCTTCAGGCCGTGAGATGAAACCCCTTCAGCGTTTATTCATCTATATGCTAAATTTAACTTATTTAAAAAAAATATTTTTCTGGTTTTCTTCAAAAACACAAGAATGGGAGGTAGGGCAATCGTTGAAATTTCTGTCTCTATTTCTGTCTCTCACCATCTGTCTCCCTCACTCGTTTTCATCTGAAAGTATTTAGTAATTTCTCTCTTTCTCTGTACAGTTCTTTCCCCGTTTTACGTGTTTGTACAGACACGGTTTCACAGAGAAACAAATAGGCAAAGTTTGTTAGCGAAAAGATAGTGAATAGTGGCCTAGACTACACTGTGTTTTGAACTTCATGATAAAAGGAGAAACAACAACTAATTAAACATGTCTTCGAATGAGGTAGAGAGGAAAAAAATGACAAGTGATGGATAGTTGTCACAACACGGTTATCACTACTGTAACTATTACTATTATTATTAGTAGTATTATAACTTTATCGTTGATAAATGCATAAACCTGAAATATTTTCATAAATGTAGGTTGTTGCTTATGTAGGGTGGAGAAGGGGAGGATTTCAACAGACAAGACAGAATAAAACCAAAAATATAATAAGTTAGTGAAAAATTCGTTGTTGAAACTTGTCTAATGTCTAGTTTGATTGACATGACGACGATAAGCATTTTAAGGCAATATAGATTGAAATGAGGTAAAATACGTTGGAGGTAGGTATTGATTAACTTTGGATAATCGTTACATCTACTGATTTTATCGTTCATTAGTTAGTCGTACAGGAGAGGGTATTAATCCAACGAGATACAGTCTGATATTGAATTCACCAGTGGGAAGAGGATTTCCGAGAATGTAAAAGTGTCGTCTTAAACATTCTGCTTACAAAAACATTAAATGGTAGTATAAAAAGTAATTTGTGCTAAAAATGTACACATGGACATGACAAAATGGGTTTTTTTTGTAGGTCTGTTCCATTCTAAAGAAGTTCGGTAAACACCCTTAAAGCTATGCGCTCACAGATATATCTATTCAGAAGATGCATATGAAGCAGAAGAACCCTCAGAAATTTGTCATAAAAGCGTATGGCCGAATGAATTATTTTGAAGAACCAATCGTAAGTCATATTCATGCTTCAATCAATCCTGATTTTCCAGTTGATCGATTCGATCGGCATATTCGCCTTCAGATGATATGTCAGCTAGTTGATCAGATGCTTCAACGACGTCTCAGGATTACCTTGAAGTAATTTGGTGGGTGGAGCCCACCACTGGAATCAAAGATGTGCATTTCTTCCTATTAGGCACTAATCACTAGGAAGTATCTCTATTCCTCAGAGAATGATAGTGTTCCCATTCAGTCAATCCAATTCACTGACACTTCTTGCACGCGAGGTGGCTTTCGTTGCCCAAGTGTTCTACTGGACACCACGTTGTTGTAAGAGGTTATGGGTATTGAGTTTTAGCCGACTAGGAATACCATCAATCACTGGGGAAGAGATGCAGATACAACCGAGTGACGACTCCCAAAATGGGCAAAATACACATGATGATTTCCACCGCTTATGACCTTCCACTTAACTGATTGTGTAACACTTGAATTCCAGGCTTACAATTAGTTGTCTTTCTGTATATTAGAGTTTCACAGAGCATGACAAATTCGTCTTTTGATGTTTTGCAATGAAAGCAGTTGGATATACATTTTTTAATAAAACTACTACCACGGGAACATGACCGGATGTATCTTCGGTTTTAGTGTTCAAAATATACCTTTTAGTCAATTTTGTGATATTATTTTCAGCATTGATCCCAAGGTTACATCAGTTAGAGGACCGTTGGAGAACTTGAAGTACTGGACGGCTATGTTGTCTTAGTTGGGGGATTATCAGTGGTACACACCTAACACAGAGCTTTGAACCTCGGTAACTAAATGAGCTTGTAGAATATCCAGCTAGAGGTGCCTGACCTAATGGTCTCTGTATTCCAAATTCTCCTAATACGTGATATATATTTCGCTCAGCTGCCACCCTGTGTAACAGGCAATTGACTGTCCTCTTGCATGACTTAATAGATTCCGCACGTTACGATTTCTCACTACAACTCAAGGTACTTTCTGTATATTGCCAGTCTCTTTTGAGTAACGGTTTAACTATCAAATATTGGTCTGCAGGGATCTGATTGGTTACCAGCAACTGATGATTTCATTTTCATAAGAGAATTAGCCAACTAACGCTAAATACTGTATAAGTTTAATTCCTAGTCGATTGCGACATCTTTCTATTCTGCAGTTATAAAGAGATGTACCTAGACTAGCCATCTAATAATTTGATTGGGATAGTGTCAAAATTTTTAACAGAGGAAATATCATAAGTGCTAGAGAATTCCTAGAAGACTGTTTAGGGAGCGAATATGAGATTAACAGATAGATGTTAATATAGACCAAATCTACTAACTAATAAAAAGTTAATCATGTAATGAGAAATTTTAAAATCTGAGTAAATAAAAACGATGAAAAAAGATGAAAATTGGCTACAAGTTACGAAGATGATTGCCAGGATACGCAATTGTATTATTCATGGAGAATTTAAACCACTTCACTTTATGCTAAAACTTGCGTTGAAGTTGCTGTCCAGAGTGACGGCGAAAGCTTCGCAATTAAACTAATCAGCTCAGAGAACACAACTTTTCGCAAATCATTCACCTGAAATACAAATCATCTCTATTATTTGAGCCATTTATGTTGACTGTGCCTCTAGGAACCTAACTATTTCCACTTTTCAGAAACACCTACCACCATTAAGGCTGAATAAAATTGTAATACAAGCCACCAAGACCATCTTGTCCAAACCGGTCACAAAGCTACGATTGACAGTTTTTTTGCTGTCTTCTTTAGGGCAGTCGGTAGATTGCAAATAGTCTCTACGTGGCGATTGTTTTAAACAGCAGAAATCGTTGGTTTCAGCCTTAAAGACTGGAGCACAATGAGCCATAGAAAGTGGTTCACTCACTGTTGCTACCGTGGCCTGATCCAGACCTTATAAGTTTACGAATTTTCTATCATTTCTCAACTTGGTGCTCTACTGATGCATATCATCACTGGCGGATGCTTTGAAATATTAATCTACTCATACAACCGACTTAATGTAATTTAATTAAATACATCATCGCTGTTAGTAACAGGAATCCTTAAGTTATTATGAATATCGGTTTAGAATCTCGTGATTCGCTTGTTTGATTGGAAAGCATATCTTAACTGGCGTCATTCGTCTAGCTTCACAGTTAAACCAATCAGCTAGAAGAACACAACTAATTGCAAATGCGTCTAGTTTTCTGCAGATAGAATTCTATCAGTTACGTTCTCATCATTCTGAGTGGTTCATCATTACAATGCACTTGGAATTGTTGACGTTAGATGGTTGTGGGAGGATTGGTAGAAAGATTTCAACCTAGGTTTAGTGTTTTGTGACTGGCAATCACCTGTCATGCCTCATCTGAGATACAAATCTGTGTCATTCAGTGTCATTTGCAGTCAGAAACGTATATATACAATACAGTTCTACAGGAAGTGATTCATGAGCTCATATATCTCAGTGATAACATCTATAACTGCAGCTCTCTGTCTCATTGGCTGGAGTCATAAAAAGCGATAGGAGTTCCTCTAATCATCGAATATTATCAATTCAGAAGAAGTGTTTATCGGAAAGAATTTCCCCTATTCACTAATAACCAG